GCTCTGGTTTCTACTTTACTTATATAACGTTGTGACTACATTGCCTCAAAAAAAGGAGGGCAAAGATAATGGTGTGTTGAGAAAACCAATTTGATCACTAAGTCTGCACTTTTTGCGGTTAAAGTAAAAAGTCTTTTGTTATCTGAGGTCGTTGGCAACAACAAAGCTTTTCCCCCTTCTCTGTACAAAAGCTTGAGTTCACTAAAACGTTACCTACTGAGCACCTCAACGGTTTTCGTGTTTTTGATATTTCTCTCATATTTTGAGCTTTGTCAGAGAAGTTAAAAGCCAGGTTAATCTAGTACCATCTGTTTTCTTAAGCATACGTCAGTGGGTCAAGTAGCCTTGAAAGACAATCTTCGTTGGTTTTCTGATAGATTCCTCTTTAGTCTGTTTTAATTCTTAATTCCTGAATGTGCAATTTGTTTTCATATTTAAATTGTGAAGTGTTTGTCAGAAAAGACCACATACAGCAAGGAAAAGTAAGATAGTCAATGGAGGCCATCAATTGCGCATTCTTTCTCAAGTGCTACTATAAAATTTTTAGCTTCACTCCAAAGGACTTAAGTGCCTATTTTTTAAAAGTATTTCCTGTTTCTATCTTTTAGTAATAAAAAAGTCAGCAATTTTGCCCTCGGTTATAACAAAAATTTATAGCAAAAAATTAGATTCACATCTGCTTGGACAGCGTTGAATCTTGCCACAATTTGTATAAAGAGAAAATATCATTAAAAAACTATTGGCTAACTACTGTAGACTTTGGATGATTCGTTCCCTCATGAAAAATCCTACGACCAAATCAGCCAAATTAAATTTAACTCTTATTCTGTTGATAATATTGTATTGTGCGAAACGTTTATCGACAGATATGTAAAAAGTATATGGACTCCCATATCATGCCACAATTTCTTGTAACCATTCTCAATCATTGAAAGTCACCCCGTCATGCACCAACTGACATGTAGAACAATGTGTGGCCGGATACTGAGCTGGCTGCGTGACTTGCCCTTCGCTGGTGATAAAACTGGAAGTAAGAGATCGACAGTTTCCGCGTCACGACGTTCTACAATAAAGTGAGTGAAGTCACATCGCCCTTAACGGAAAATTAGATATATAGCATTATGCATGATTAATGTTTATAGCCAGATGTCTCAAGGATGAAATCCATTCTGATAAAACAATCACATATGATTAATGTTTATAGCCAGATGTCTCAAGGATGAAATCCATTCTGATAAAACAATCACATCAGCTCTGTTTTAATTTTGATCGTACATAAAGAAATGTTTATACTACAAACATGATGTGTAACCGGAAGAGTAAAACACGTTTCGCGTTGTCGACAAAAGTAGCAAAGTCGCGTCGCCTATCTAACCTTTAATTTCGAACATCAAATTTTACTATTTGAATTACGTGTTAATATTCACTTCGTCGACTTTATGTTTGGATTCAATCCAGAATCTTTGAAGTTCTTACGTGGTTAATCATGTCATGTCTCAGCTCCATCCAGCCGCTTAAAGATACGACAAAGCACTTGGCACATGAGCCTTTCCGAGGGCGGCCGAAATCTGCGTTTTACCGTGAGTTTATCCACGGCCAGCTTCTCAAGCCAAGTCTCTTTGTTTTTCTAGATCGTTCGTAGTGCACAAATCACGAATTATCACTCTCGCAAGAAAAACGCTTTTAACGATGAAAAGAACTTTTGTCATCGTTACCTCATTATTCTTTTCCACTTGTTGTCACGTACAAGCTATCGAACTTGTACCTTCAGTCAATCTATCATGGGTAGACGTGACTACTATATCCCTGGGGGAGAGATCCTTGTGTTTAAGGCGACGTCACTCGGAAAGACAAGAATCGAGGGGTCATAAAATGCTTCCTCAGAGATATTCACAACTTAACCGCTCGGAACAGGAACTGATGTTCTCTGTCATGAGTTTTGACGTAAGAAGTAAAACTCTGCGTTTGCAATTATCTGACATAAAAAGGAGAACTCAGTTTCTTACGATCAGTAACATTGTTATCGAAGAATCGATTAGCACATTTTATCAGTGAAGTACAGTTTTCACGAATTCAAGCATGGGATCAAGACTGTTTCACCGTCTTAGTTGTTCGACCCTGTTTTGTCGAAAAGATTGTATTTTTAGGACAAACTATCGTCTACTTTCCTCTCTGAAAGGAGGGCAAGTGGTTGTACGATTTGCAAAAGCAAGTCACTTTGACGAGGTACTTAAACTTTCGAGGAAACTTAAAGACACATTCGACTACGTTCCCTACCGATTGCACAAATGGCTTCAGGAATCCAACAGAATCCCTTTGGTTGCCGAAATAGGGACAGATGTAGTTGGCTTCGAAGAATGCAGCATCCTCGACGGAGAAGAGTCAGTATTGCTGGAGGCTGGAAGAATTGACCCTGATCATAGGCATCAAGGTATTCTCGGTTTACTAAGATCTCTTGGACCTTCGCTAATCCGTGAAAAGTTTCCAAAAGTCTTTCGTACCCGGTACACGGTATGGTCTGGTGCCTATCAAGCAGTGAAGAAAACAAACCAAAAGCGTAATATCTACGACGAAGAGCTGTATCATTATGATTTTTTAAGCTACAAAGTTGAGCCAGAGCATGTCAGTTTTAAATACAAATTAGAAAACTGCACGAAACTTAAACCTTGCCCAAAAGAAGAGTTTAAAAAACATATTTTGGAAAACGCTAGTACCAGCTCGCTATTTCCTGATAACATGCTTGCCATTGATTGGCAACCGTTTAAAGCCATCCCAACCAACTTTGAATCCATTGTACAAGACCAGGATCGATATTTTGTCGATTCTTCAAACGATCTTGCGGGTGCCTTGACATCTTTCAGTTTGGGAAGATTTGTACAGCTTGTTCGTGGACAGGTATGGACATCGACCATCTACGCGAAGGACTCAAAGCTTTGTCAGTCCCACGTGATCCATCAGTTAACGAGTGCCTGTCAAAGTGCAAAAGGAAGCTTTCTATTTAGCACCTTTCAAGATCCATCTCTTACAAGGTACTGTAAAGAAGCCCTGACGGACATTCCAGGGGTTACGAGGATGGAAGGAAACGAGCCTACACAAAAGATGTTTATCTTTGAGGGCGAATAGGAAGATTAACATGACAGAATCGATGGATCGATCATAGCAGTAGCTAGACTTTTTTAGTATGGAGGTTAGGAGTTACTTCTTGTGTATAAATACCCTTTTCAAACTAATAGACCTCTGATTTTCTGCAGGCTTAACTCTAATATCCCTGTTACCACTTTTTTAATCGATATGTTTCCTTGAACAAAGTTTGATATGTTTCCTTGAACAGGTTTGGTGAAATGTTGTTATTTGTCATAAATTCGTGTATAGTAAGGTTTGGGTTATTCCTTATCTATTAATCTATTTATTCACTGATTGATTATTTACTTACCTGTTCATACGCATGATTTTTACCATTTTTCTGCCGTGATTTTTGTCTTTGAGGATGTTCATTGATACCTCGCACGTAGTTTTGAAAATGGATTTTAGACTATTTCAATTTTTAATTGGAGTAATTCTCGTTCCACAATGACGTAGTTCAGACTTATTATCAAGCCGTTTCCTTAATCAAATTTGGTAGATTAGATTTTCAAATCTATCATTAACTAAAAGTAGCATAAGGTTGTCCTTGATCTATTTTCCAATAATTTTTTAGCCTTTTTACTCTCAGCCACTGAATAATAACGGCAGAGCCTGGATGAAGATCATTGTATGATTCTGGTTTACCCGGTCAGAATAAATTGTTTGGGGCTGCGTCGGTGGGGGTAACGAAATAATTTGGATATATCAACAAAGTTGAAATGGTAAGTTGGCCACTGTAACGATTACAAAAGCTGACGTTTCGAGCGTTAGCCCTTCATCAAAGCGAATAGAGGAATTGTGGGTTGTGCGTGCTTTTAAAGGCAGAAAATGGAGCTACGTTATTCGTGGGAACATGGCAACGAGAAAAACACGAATAAATTAGTGGAATGAAAAGCGTTCGTTGATACCTGTGGGATTTAGACTGCCGGTTTGAAAGATGAGCTTTTGATCAAGACTTTTTCGGCTTTCCGTGCTACCTTAGTGTAAGGAAAGACCGCAGATTGCCATATGTTGCTTAGAATGATTAGGTAAATTAAAATGTCTAGCGACTGGTTTCGATGTGTCCCTGTCATTCCTTTCCACGTCGCGAAGGTGTTCTCGGAATCGGTCACCTGTCTTCTGCCTGTTACGCCGATGTATATCTTTTTGCAATAAGTGCAAGTTATGCAATAGATTACATCGACTGCCAGTTTTTCGATAAACGTGGTTACCCTGTTTCTGTCGTTCAAGCGGGTTATCACCGCGCCCAACTTATTGATCGACATTCAGCACTACCAACGTCACAAAAGGAAGATTCCGACCGCATTCCATTCACTCTTACGTTTGACCCTCACAACCACTCAGTTAAATCCGTCATTCTTAAAAAATTTGAATTACTTCAAAATTATCCAGAGGCAAGCACTATCTTTTCGCAGCCTCCGCTCATTTCTTTCAACAACATAGTCAATTTTTTGGTCAGAAGTTCTTTTCAGACTAATGACCAACCCGGCACTTTTAAATGCGCTCGTGCACGATACAAAACGTGTCCTTTCATTCACGACACTGATAAAATATCGGGACCCAAACGATCCATCACCGATCACTTCACGTGCACCTCAGCCAATGTAATCTATTGCATAACTTGCAACCCGTTAATTAATCACGAGCCGACAAGCTGAATGAGCAAGCGAATAAGACAAAATCTTTAGACCAAAATAATGTGCAGTAATTGCATTGATTAATGTGAGTTTTCGCAAAGTTTCAAAATATGGCAATGGCTTTGAGATTGTTCTACCGCTCTGGTTTCTTAGTTTAGTTTAGTTTATTAGCTTCGCCGACCGGCTGCGGGCCCGGTAAACGCACCCATCCCACCCCAGGGGAGGACATCTATCACGCAGTAATCTCGTGCGTGGGAAATTAACATCTCCTATCCCCAACCCTGCAGGAGACGGGACCTCCATTTATTCGTCTCTATCCGAGAAGATATCTAACCATTTCTTGATGTTACAGAAAGGTAGCAAATTCTTCTCAATTATTTTAAGACCTTGAGTGTTGGTCCGGCCGGGGATCGAACCCTCGACCTCCCGCTCAACAGTCCAGCGCACTATCCATTGGGCTAACTGGATATCAACCATATCTTTCGAAGCCATCGTTTCGTCGGGAAAAGAAACTATTTCCTCCCCCTTTAAAAGAGGAGAAAGTGGCTGTTCGACTCGCAAATGCTAGTGATTTTGACGAGATTTTAAAGCTGTCTAAGAAAATGGAAGACACTTTCGACTATGTTCCCTACAGGTTCCACAACTGGCTTACGGAGCCCAACAGAATCAATATCGTTGCTGAGAAAGGATCGAAAGTGGTGGGTTTCATGGGAATGAGTGTCGTTGACTGTGAAGAGTCAGTAGTTATCGAAGGTGGAAGAGTTGTTCCTAATCATAGAAATCGAAGTATTATCATGTTACTTCGGTCTCTTGGATTTATGTTAGCTCGTGAGAAATTCCCAAAGGTAGCTCGTACAAGGTACACGGTATGGTCTGGGTCTTAACAAGGAGTGAAGAATGCAATAAAAAAGCACAAGGTCATTGATAAAGAACTGCATTACTACGATTTTTTAACTTACAAAGTTGACCCAGAGCAAGTCAACTTTGAACACAAGTTAGAAAACTGCTCGAGCCTTCGACCCTACCCAAAGGAAGAGTTTCAGAAAAACGTTCTGAAAAACACTGGTACTCGCTCGCTACTTCCTAATAACATTCTGGTTATTGACTGGCAACCGTTTGAAGCCATCCTATCCAACATCGAGCACATCTCACAAGACCGAGATCAATATTTTGTCGACTCGCCAAGTGGTTGTCAGGGCCAATTGAATCCATTGTCTTTCAGTCTGGGAAGATGTGTGCTCCTGGTATGCGGGATGGTGAGGTCCTCGACGATCTACGCTAAGGACTCGAAGCTTTGTCGGTCTCACGTGATCCATCAGTCAAAGAGTGCCTGTCAGACTGCACAAGGAAGCTTTTATTTCAGCACCTATCAAGATCCTTCCCTCACCAAGTATTGTAAAGAAGTCCTTCACTACATTCCAGGTGTTACAAGGATAAACGATGAGGAGCCTACACAAACGATGTTTATCTTTGAGGGTAAATTGGAAGCCAACACAATCAAGTAACAATTTGCAGCAACAGAGGCTAGAAAAAATATATATCCTTTGAAAGAAACGATTGAAAGATTCATTCTCAAAAAACCTCTGATTTGCTGCATGTCTGCCATATACCAGTTACTACTTTTTTTAAAGATTATGATGTTTCCTCAGGCAAGTTAGGTTATGACATGAATCTATGACATGTAAGATATTTACATTTACATTTATTGTAGACGAATTTATGACATTATGACATGTAAGACATTTGTCTCCTTTAATAGCACAACTCTAAGACCCCAGCTTGCAAAGGCCGCAGTTAGCAAAGGCTAGTCGAGGCGGGCAGTGTTTAATACGTAGATTATAAAATAAAAAGATTTACATTGCAAGAGATTCAAAATTCTAGACAAATTACAACTACATTGATACATTCAAGATAGGGCAAGAGAACAGAACAAGCTGGGGTCTTATAGTTGTGCTATTAAAGGAGACAAATCAATATAATCGTCATATTTTTCGAATCTCTGGAGGAGGAAATCGTGAATTTTACTCTTAAAATTGTATTTTGATAGCTGGCGCACTTCACAAGACAAGCTATTCCAGATTCTAACACCATTTCTTGAAAATGCCGTTTTTTGGATATCTAATCTTGAACTTTCAACAAAATAGTCGCCTCTTAAAGATGATCTTGTCTTATCGGGAAGAATATTAGCTTGATAAGTGAATAAGTTAGATATGTGAGAAGGTGACAAATAAATGGATATGTCATGCATCATGATGGCAACTGATTTAAAGTAAAACATATCCAAAGGAAGAAAACGAGAAGAAACAAAAAACGCGATCGCATGAGATCTCTTTATCACTAAAGTACATTAAACGAAGGGCTCGTTTTTGAAGGATTAGAATTTTATCTCTATGAATTTTTGCAGCTTGACCCCACGCGACTATACCATACAAC